GCACAACTAAATTGGAAAATAAAACCAATTATGTATACAAATAAGAATAGCTGCATGCACACGCGAAGTGAACGGGAAGTTATAAACACAAATTAGAAAATTTAAGTTAACCCCGGTGGTTAGATTCAAACTTTAATACAAAACGAGAGCGCAAGAAAAAAACACGTCCGTTCACTTGGAAAGATGGTGAACTTATGGGGAAGACAACAAATTTGCCACCCTTAAGCAATAATTATAACGCACGAATAGGTTATTATATGCTGTGTATATTTTCGTTTTCACTTCTCTGGTCGGAGCTGCAACTACCGATCGAATGCTTGACTTTAACATTTAGAAGAAGAAGAGATAGAGAAATAGATAAGAAAAAAAAAAACTAAGAGTGCAGCAGGTGCAGCCATACACCCATACGAGCATGATTAGGCGCTAGCGGTCTGCTCCGAACATACTCCCCCCGTTGGAAGAGGTACTGTTCCAACTATATCGGTATCGTGGGGCAGAACGACTTGATACGCATTTGCGGCCTCCAATTGGCCAATAGCTCTTCCGCAATGTGGTCAGCAACGCTTGTGATCCTGCATGCGAATATCTCTTGTCGTTAGACAAGAATGCAGCTGGCTTTCCTACGGCAGCAAGTGTGTCATCAGAATGATTAGTAGGATCGTTGACGACGGCAGCTAAGACAGACTGAGGAGTAGACGCACTCGGCAGCCCTCCAGACACGATCCAACCAAGTTTGGTGTTCTGAAGAGTTGGCAACGCGCTATCCAAATGAATTTGTCCCGTAGCCATTATTTCAAAAAAGAGGGCAGCATCAATTATAAGATCTATTCGATCTGCTCGATTGAAGTGAGGATCAGCGAGCGATATATTTTCCGGAATTTTCCATGATACTGCGTTTATATCGAAATGTGGCTGATACTCAGTGATACTATCAGTCACAACCGCGGAGAGTGAGGCACGATAGCTTGCATCCCGGGATTGCGCTTGAATGTCGACTGTCCTATCACAATTCAGAGAAGATTCACCAATCCCAGAGACTAGTGTATGGAATGATTCAATGATTCAAGTTTAGTTGGATTGCTAGGCGAGAAGTTATAAAGTTTAGCTGAGACGCCGAGTCTAAGATTGCTCGGCAAGGCATAAATTCTCCAGCCTTATTTTTCACACATATAATAGCGGTTGGAAGCAACACGTAATCAATGGGCAGAATATTTGTGGGTTTTGGTGGAGGGTTCGATGAACGCGAAAATGATGCTAATGCTGATGAAGATGTTGATGACTCAGAGTTGAGAAGTGGATCGAATGATAGAGATGAGGCGGCGGATGGTACAGATGGGTCCTGATTAAGGTGCAACATTGAGTGGTGCTTCATATGACAGTATCTGCAGTGCGTTGACTCACATTGCTGCAAACTATGCTCCTTGCGCAAACAGTTGAGGCACAGTGCAACTTCTTTGCTTGTCTAAATCGAATATGCAGACTCAAATTTAAAAATCGAGGGCATTTTAGCAAATAATGATCCCTCGCTTCACAAAACATACATAGCGGAAGATATGAGCTAGCAGCTGAAGCAATGAAGCTATACCTATGCAGGGCATTTCCCACCTGCTGGCTTGGTGTTTGCGTTACCAAGGCTTGATCCATATTTTCCATCATTCTACACCTCCTTTTCAAGAACGACTCTATAGAATCCCACGTAGATAGATCGTTGATGGACAACCCTCTTCCCATTGTTCCCGCGTCCTCGAGCTTTCGTGCGACGATGTGAATCAGCAATACGTCCAAGATTTGTTGCGTAGTGGCCAGGGTACGGATTGCTCGCAGATGCGAATTCATCCAATCGCTTAACTCCCGAAGACCCTTGTCTGATCCCTTCTCGACACTCTTTGACCCAAATATTGCTTGTACGTGTGCCTGAAAATGTAAAACTTTATTATCGAATCGATTTTTGAGTAAGTCCAAAGCCTTCCTTTAATTGGCATTCCTATAATTGGCTTAAGCGAACGTATGGTCTCTAGAGCCCCACCGCCTAAACTTGACCTTAGATATTGTAATTTTTCAATATCACTAAGTCGCACGTCGCAATAAAATCCGGCCAATCAGAATAGGAACCATGAAACCGAGCTATCTCCAAAATTGGCAGCCGAGGCTTCCTAGATCGGAAAGAAAGATCCGGATGGTTTTTATGCTGAACCGAGTTTTCCGTGTTAGACATTTTTATTTTCTCACGCGAAAAGAATTAATAAAAGGAAAATGTCTGACCGCTTCGGTATATAGGAACCCGTTTAGTTTTCACTGCGCAAATTTAGAGGTTAATCAGCGTCACCGAGATGCAACGGAACCTCGACAATGTTGTTGTAATTGCTTGCCTCGCAACAGCGGAGTTTTGGCACACGCGCGTCTATGCTATATATGCATAGGTATATATATGTTCAATGGGCGCTATTTACGACGCTTAAGCGCGAGCCACCTTTGTATACAATGTTTGGCACAACTCAGCTTTTGTTTAACAGCGCGATGTAACCGAAATTCAGCGACCGGCTATATGCACTCAGCTTGTTATGTACAAGGTATGTGTGTGAGTTTGCTTGTGTGCTTATGACCGAATGCCAGTAAGCGACAGCGAAGCAAAGCGATTTGTTTAAACGATATTAAACAACGAACACCGGGTTGCAGGCTCCGAGCCAAAGAATCACGTCGGGGTCACCAAAATGTTTATGGGGAAGACAACCAATTTGCCACCCTTGAGCAATAATAACTAACGCTCAAATTAGGTTAATTAAATGCTGTGTATATTTTCGTTTCACTTCTCTGGTCGGATCTGCAACTACCGATCGAATGCTTGACTTTAACATATATCAAAACGCTTACAATAGCTTAGCTTAAAGGATAAAGCGACAGAAGAAGAAGAGAGAGAGAAAACGCAGCATCCATATTCTAAAATAGGACGAACTAAAACTATACATCAGAGAACTGTAAAAATCACTATTTTCTTTATTTAATCATACGCGAACTTTTTCAATCAAATCACTGACCAAACACAGTGATGAGTAAAAATCAACTCATTTTGCCGTACGCATCATTCCAATCATCTTGAGTCTTCGGTTCAAAATTTTTCACTCAACTCAACTCACTGAACAAATCATAGTGATGAGTAAAAATCAACTCATTTTGCCGCACTCATCATTCCAAACAAAAAATGAGCTTGTGTTGACGAAAGCATCATCGGATCAATTCGAGTTGATCGTGTATGAGTAAAGGATTAGCGACAAGATGACACGAAGTGAGCATTACGAATGCATGTACAGTAACAATTTCTATGAGAGCTAATTAATTAATATAAATTTAAAATCAATATGCGACGAACCTTATTTGTTTTAAAATAAAATTTAAACCTGAAAATAAACGTTTTGTTGTGAAATCATTTTCATTGTGTTCTGTTTCACCTTCTTCTTCGCACATTTCATCTGTGCAAAAAAAGTTCCGCTCGCTGCGCGCATGATTAAAATCATACGTGTTGATTTTTGTGAGTTGAGTGCTATTCTTGTTCAAACAAATGATTGTTGAACCGAATGCTCGCACCCGAGTGGATTTAAAATCTATAACGAAAATGTGAGCGCATGCAAGTTTGATCGGCTGATCTGAACAGTGTGATTATTCGGCTGTTGAGCGCGTACGAATTTTTTTCATTCACCCGAAGCCGTTCTCTTGTATACATATAAGGATTTAGTAACATCGGGGTCATTGAATTTCTTCGACCACCGTTTAATAAATCCAAACCGAAATACGATCGATAGTCAAATTTAAGATCCAAGTGGACACCCAATTAATCAAATAAATTAATTCTAAACGTGTAAGTCGCAAGTTCGGGAACTAAAAGGGAGAATGTCATTAGCTTAAATTTAGAGCCGATTAAATTTAATAAGTTTACGCGGAGCATGTTTGGAAATTTTTAAGATCTATTTGTAAATCCGACTGGCAAGCGACGTATGAATGCACAGATTGAAGTCAGATCACATAAGTACTCTGAAGTTAGTTAAGACTTTGGGCAGGTCATTTATAAATAACCCAATTGGCTCCCTTGAGAGACGCCAAAAGTAACCCTAAGAACATTAGATAAATTATTTTTAAAGAGGACCTTTTGCGTTTTGCCATTCAGATACCTTAAGATCCTACTAAAAAATAGAATGGAATAGAATCCTACTAAAAAGAATAGAATGGTTAAGGGGGTAGACCAACCTGAATGAATGAAAATTTGACGGTTTTTAAAAAATTCATTTTGATATAGTTATTAAGAATACAACTTTTTATGTATTTTATGTACATCAAAGTACATGTGTTAAACCAAAAAATACTTATTGAAAGAAAAAAAATTTACGAATGCCGGAGATATAGCAAGTCAAAAAATTAATTTTTTAGGGAATGGTCGTATAGTGTACATGCTGCACACCACATTTGTTATCTTAAATTCCAAAACAACATTTTTGTATAACCTATACTTATAGGCTATAGCATGACGTAGCCGTTTTTGGGAACAATTTTTTTTTGAGCAAATGGGAGCACTTTGAAAAACAAAACAAATTTTTGTTTTACGAATTTTTTGTTTCAAAAATTTATAATTTCTAAAAAAAAAATCAGAACGAAAAAATCCTACTTCATGTCATAGAAGACGTTATAGAGAAGAGAATCGAATCCGGCAGCTTTCGAGAAATCATGTACACCGTTTTAAAAATCGTAGTTTTGAGAAAAACGCAAAAGAACATAAGGGAAGTACTCTAAAGTATACCGCCAGCGCTCACTTCTAATGGCTGTAGAATACATAAGTAATGAGATATTTTTAAGCCCGATGTCTTAAAATGCCCGTAAGATTATCGGCATCAAGATAGAGTAAAAAAAATACGATTTTTAAAAAATGTGGTCTAACCCCTTAAGCAGTAAACTAATAATCATATGCCTATTAAGTTTATTAAATATTCAAAATATCTTTTTTTACTTTACAGGCTGTGTGTTCACGTCACGGTTTGGCAATTGGAGCCAAAACTATTTTAATAACCAAAACTGTTATGGCAATAACAGCTCCCCTGTCTTATCCAGTCTCACGACTTCTTGATAAGTTATTGGGTGAAGAAATTGGTAATGTTTACAATAGGGAACGTTTAAAGGAACTTGTCCGTGTAAGTAAAAAATCCTCATACGCAGCTTATTCATAATTTTTCTTAGAAGTTTGCAACTCAGTAAAAATTTTATATTCTTAGCAGCTTCAACCGCGTAGCTAGTACGCATGTCTTCTTGCCTGTCTGTCGGTATCTATGCAAACTATTTCTACAGCTTTCGATCTATCTGAATAAGTTTGAATAGATCGAATTTTAGGATGTTTTAAAATATTTTTTTTTTAAGATAATGAAAATTGAATACTATGATAAAGATTACGATATACTCACTATTCAAAAGTTCAAAACGTTTATCATTTGACCAAATCCGACAACTATTTTATATATAGATGCCTTAGGAGTAATCGTTCAATTTATATGAGAAGCTTTAGGCTAGGACAGCTATTAAATAAAGTTCGATCTTCTTACATAAAAACTCGGTTGCATCCTTCTCCTTTCTTATTGAATATATTTTTACTTAATTATATTCCATTGTTTAGGTTACAAATGATGTAAACGATCTTGATAAAAATGAAGTAAACATCATATCTGGAGCGTTAGAGTTACGTAAAAAAACGGTTGCGGACGTAATGACTCATATAAACGATGCTTTTATGCTCTCATTAGAGGCGGTACTTGATTTTGAAACTGTTTCGGAAATTATGAATTCAGGGTATTCTCGTATTCCTGTATACGATGGCGATAGAAAGAACATTGTTACACTACTTTACATTAAAGATTTGGCCTTTGTTGATACTGATGATAATACGCCATTGAAAACACTGTGCGAGTTCTATCAAAATCCAGTTCATTTTGTTTTTGAGGATTATACTTTAGATATTATGTTTAACCAATTCAAAGAGGGAACAATTGGGCATATCGCGTTTGTTCATCGCGTTAATAATGAGGGAGATGGAGACCCGTTTTATGAAACTGTTGGCTTAGTTACACTGGAAGATGTCATTGAAGAGCTGATTCAGGCAGAAATAGTTGATGAAACCGACGTTTTTGTTGACAACCGTACAAAGACAAAACGAAATCGTTATAAGAAGGCCGACTTTTCTGCGTTTGCTGAGCGACGTGAAGTGCAAGCTGTTCGAATTTCTCCTCAATTAACTTTGGCTACTTTCCAGTACCTAAGCACAGGTAATTGCATTAAATGTGCATTCTATAAAAATTTTTGTATGTTATTACCATTTAATTCGTAGCTGTGGACGCTTTTAAAAAGGATGTTATTTCGGAACCAATTTTGCGGAGACTACTTAATCAAGACGTCTTCCACAATATTAAAACAAAGGGGAAAAGTAAAGACGACCAAAGTCTATACATTTTTACACAAGGGAAACATGTGGACTTTTTTGTACTTATATTGGAGGGTCGCGTGGAAGTGACCATTGGAAAAGAAGCTCTTATGTTTGAAAGTGGTCCGTTTACTTATTTCGGAACACAAGCTTTAGTGCAAAATGTGGTTATTGGTAAGTACAAATCACACTTAATTGTTAAATTTATTATATCCCGTACGCGTAGGGATCGTAACATTGTACCAGCGAGAATGTATCTAAGAAATAGGTGGTGACTTCTCCAAACAATAAAGTATTTATGTTCATGACCATTACGAGTCAATTAAGCCATGTGCGTCCTAGTGAAACAATGGATCTCACAGACATGAAGATTTAGATGTGCCAAATTTAGTGACAACATTCATATCTGTTGCATGTAAAGAACCTTAAGAAAATCTCTTTACTTATTACTTGGTGATCAACTAAACTTATGGAATGCCACTCAAATGTGGCGCAGATGTATAGGGAAGTCTCAAACAAGATTTCGACCTGGGGATATGAAATGTGGATACTTTATTATAAGCATTTATACTTATAGAATTAAAAAAAAAACAGTCCGAAAAGAGCAACGTTTATGCAGAGGTTGTTTTCTATGTCCAATCTGATTCTTTTCTGTCACAGAAATATGTGCTTTCACCCTCCGAAAGAGGCTCTGAAAAAACTCAGAAAAAGCACACAGAAATAATTATAAAAAGCGCCGAAGAAGACTCTTTTAAGGGGGTAGACCACCCTAAACGCATGAAAATTGGAGTGTTATTCAAAAATTCATTTTGACCAAGTTATTAGGAATACACCTTTTTATTTAGTAGTACATCAAAGTACATATGTTAAACTAAAAATACTTACTGAAAGAAAAAAAATATTTACGAACGGCGGAGATATAGCCAGACAAAAAACGAATTGTTTTTAGGGAGTGGTCGGATGGTGTTGCACACAACAAAACCAAAACCAAAATTTTTTATAAACTATATAGTGAAGTGTTTCTGTTTTGTGAGTCGAACTAATGTCCCGTCAGTTGACTAAGGACAACGCTAAGTTGAATTAATAAAACGAATATTCCGCTTCACGTCTTTATTCAAATGATCTCAGCTTAAGACTAAATTATTGTGACAAAAATCTTACTTCTACTGCCCTTTGTTTACAAGAGTTGGGGAGCGAGATCGCCCGCTTGGGATATTGATTGAAGAATTATTTATGTTATTGAGAAGGAGCATTGCTTGCTCCGGATGTGGATTGTTTACATTGGTTCAGCGTGGGATCGCCTACGCTGCAGATTCATATTTCTTGGAACATAGCTGAATTTGTGAATATGTCACTTCCCTCCCCTTAAAAGGGTTGCCTATGTTTGGGCTGGCATTTCAGGGTACAATGCAGGCAACTGGTTTTGTGCCGGTTCTATTTCTTGTTGTGGTTCTTGATTATTTTTTGCTTGTTTTCTAAATTTTGTATATAAAAAGATAAGTGGATTTTGTGTATACAATTTTGATAGGACAACAAAAATAATAAGAACGATAACTACTAATATTATAATTACGTAAAGTGTGGTATTATTTTCTGAAATTAGTTTTAAAACGTCATTATGTTCTACTATTTTTATCTTACATTAATCGGTGAATACAATGCTGTTAAATCAAATTCTGGACGTAATGAATTTTCGCTTAAAATAACATTTCCAATTTTAACTCTACATTGTTTTATTCTAATAATTTTGCTTCCATTTATTTTAATATCGCCATTTAATTCTTGACAATTTTGTTCGATTGTAGTTTCAGTTAGATTCCATGTAAGTATAATATTTGGTTCTACATATTGAATCATTTCTTTTGTAGGAGTTGGTATAAAATTACAAATTGGATTTTTACGCTTAATTATATTTTTAATGCATTCATTATTAACTTCTTTATTGTCTTGATTATAAATTTTATTCTTATCTTCAAAATATGATTGTTGATCTGAATAGTCTAACTGATATCCATTATGGTCGGGATAAGGAATTATTTTAATGGTGTTAATGGGTTTGTGGTTAATAGGGATATGTGAAATAAGTAACAATTCGTTATTTTTGTAGTCAATCCACGTAGATGTTTTGATTAAAAGTATATTTTGGCTGTTAATGCGTTCTAGTTTGTCGTAATTGAGTAACTTTGGGTTAAAAAGTGAATAATAGAAATAACATCATCGTACAGAAGATTCCTGTGGAAGTATAACGGTATTAGTTTTCTTTTGTTTCTTAAATTGTGTTTTGTAGTATTGGGTTTCCCTATTTCGATTAATAATTTTGTAATGGTCTTCGTCTATTTTTTCTACATTTTTATTAGCTTTAAATGGATTTTTTAATTTTCCCTTTTGAAGTGGACCTTTTCTGTATCTAGTGTCAATGTTAAATTCCTGTCGATCTTCATTTATTTTATCTATTTTCCTTTCTTTAATATTTTGAGTGTTTAATATTGGATGTCCAGCGTATAAGAATATTTGAGCAGGTGTTTGTCCATTGGTGTCATGTTTTATTTTATGATTGTATGTGTAAAGAATTGTCTCTATCTTGCTTAATTTTACTTCTTCATCATCGGATGAGTTAATTATTCGGATTTTTTCATTTATTGTCTTATGTAGTCTTTCAACGTCTGCTACACCGGTTTTTGCCGTTTTAAGTTGTAATTCAATTCCTTCTGCTTCAAGCCATCGCTTTAGAGTCAAGCTGGTGAAAGCTCCGTCTCTGTCTGCCTTTAGTAATTTGGGTTTACCTAACTGATTAAAATGCGCATTAGTGCGTTCCTGCATTCTATCCAATCCTTTGATTTAATATGTTCAAGTGTAGCAAATTTTGAATAAATGTCAATGCAACTGATGTAATGTTTTCCCTCAGATGAATAAATATCTACTACAAATTTGTCTCGACAATGTTCAGGGTTGGGTGTGATTTTAAGAGGCATTTTGGTATTTCTGTGTTCTGTTTTAGCCAAATTGCATATGTTGCATTCATTTATTATATTCTGAATTAATAGTTGGCTATTTGGAAAAAAGTGATTTTCTTTGAATAATTTAGTCATTTTCTGTATACCTGGATGTAAAAGTTTTTCATGTGATTGAAGTATAATTTCTTTGAATTCGGCGTATGAACAAACATTCTTTAATAAGTGGAGGCTGCGAATTACTTTAGTGTAAGTGGTATTAATAATTTCTCTGTGTGCTCTTTGAATGATTTCAAAATCTACATCGCTTTCAATATGAATGGTAATGTTTCTATGAATAAAATGATCAAGTAAAATTTGTTTGGCTTTGTCGAGTGTCATTACATTATATTGAATTGTTGTAATGGAGTTACCGAATATTGTTGAATGCTCTACTTTATTGTTATCGGATTTAATGAAAATTATTTGTTTTTTGAAATAGTTTATTGGTTTTTCTGTTAAATGAATTAGGTTACTATTATCTTCTTCTGCACTATGTTGAGTAACTTCACTATGCTGATTTTTTTCAATTTTAATTATTGATAATGCATCGGCAACTGAATTTTCTTTCCCTGTAATATAGTTGATTTTAAATTGGTATTCGTTTAACTTGGCTTTTCATCTTTGTATCTTGGCATTTGGTTCTTTTAAAGTATGCAGCAATCTAAGAGGTTGATGGTCACTAGCAATGAGAAAATGTCGTCCTAGTAAATAATGTCGAAAAGTCTTAGTGGCCCAAACAATGGCAAGTAATTCCTTTTCGATTACACTATAATTTAATTCATGTTCATTAAGTGTTCTGCTAATAAAGGATGTAGGATGACCATTTTGAGCAAGTCTGGCTCCATGGGCTAGATTACTGGCATCTGTGGTTAAAGTGAATTCTTTTCGAAAAAGGGTAATTGGAGAATTGGTTCTCTAATTATTAAAGTTTTAAGTTTTTTGAATGCTTCTATGTAGTCGAGATTTTGTGTATCTATTTTGCTCCTTTTTTTAAACATTTGGTCATTGGTTTTGCTATGTCTGCGTAGTTTGGGATAAATTTACGATAATAACCGGTTAACCCAAGGAAAGCTCTGATCTCTTTTACTTTTGTTGGAATTGGATATGAAACTATGGCTTTAACTTTAAGGGGGTTTGGTTTTATACCATTGGGGGTTACGATGTGACCAAGAAAACTAGCTTCCTTTTTTAAGAATTCACATTTGTCTAACTGTAACTTTAAATTTGCTTCTGCAAGTTTGGAAAAAACTAGCTGTAATGAATTTAAATGTTCGGTAAGGGATGTGGAAAAAATTATTATGTCATCTAAATACACTAAACAGTGTTTATTAAGCAACGATCGAAGGATATTATTCATACACCTTTGAAAAGTAGCAGGTGCATTTCTAAGGCCAAATGGCATTCGAAGGTATTCGTAATGACCGCTTTTGGTGGAGAATGCAGTTTTAGGTATTGATTCGGAGTCCATTTCTATTTGATGAAATCCCTTTGCCAAATCGATAGTTGTAAAATATTGGCATTTACCTAGTTTACCAAGGATTTCGTCCATGTTTGGTATTGGATATCTGTCGGGAATAGTTATTTCATTTAGCTTTCTATAATCAATTACTACTCTATACTTAATTTTTCCAGATGCATCAGGTTTTTTTTGGTACTACCCAGGTAGGACTATTGTATGGTGAATTACTTTCCCTAATTAATCCCTGATTAAGCATTTCCTGTACTTGGTTATCGACTTCAATTTCGTGCGCTTGAGCAAGTGGGTACTGTTTTGAATAAATTGGGGAGTTATGTGTTGTATTTAGTACGTGTTTAATGGTATTTGTAAATGTTAGATTGTCTCCTTCTTCATATTGAAGATTTTGAATTTATTTAATAAACCTTTCAACCTTGAAGTTTCCTCCTGATTCAGGTGATCTAATCGAAATAATCCGAAATCAATTTTTTTGTTGATTCCTGAGGTGATTTTTTAATTGGTTCTATTGGCTTTTGGATATAAAAATTTTGGTTCTTTTCTGATTTTGAAGTTATTAATTTATATGTTTTATCAAAAAGGGTAACTGTACTATTTTTGTAATTTATAATTGATTGTGCATTTTTCAACAATTTTCTGCCAATTAGTATATCATAATTATTAGAAAAATTGTGTACATAAAATGGTTAAGTTGTTTTAAAAATACT